CTAAATTTTTAATGACTACATTTTCAGTTTACTTGAGTATGGAAGCATTTTATGTTAAAATAGTAATGAATTAGCAAACAACAATTTATAAGCACAACGAAGTGGTGTATTTTTAGAGGAACATATTACATATTTCAACAGCACATGTAGCATAGTTCACCATAAATAAATCACTTCATTATGCTTATAAATTGTTATTTGTCAACTTATTATTGTTTTTACGTTGACCTAATATACACGTTTTGCATTTTTAGATATTAACGAGAGGCCCAGGAAAGACTTATAAAATATGTAACTCATTGTAAAGTAATATGTAGAACATTATAAGTTAGCCAAATTCATTGGAAATTTGTCATGCAAAAATATCTCCTAAAATTATCAACAAAAACATTATACTTCAAGTCAAGAGTGAATATTTATAAATATTAGCAAAAGTATCACCAATACCGTTGCATACTGAGACGTCGATTGTTTAAAATAAGTTTAATAGCGTCCGATCTACTGTTGACAATAGATCCTTTATCGGCCTACAAGTGTATTATCTAATCTCCTTTAGAGACAGATACTTTGATAGATAGATAGATTTACTGGAAAGCATTAGAAAGTAAAAGAAAATCAGTAGATCAATACAGTTTGTTTTTTCTAGACAGCAATTAATTTCATTTTTAGATGCTGGCATATGCGGTGCCTCATGTATTTCTTCTCTTAACTTATTCAGCAGAATAAAGACCATACAAATAGATGACTCTGAAGCCTTATCCAAACAACATCAAATGAAGATGATGTTGTCGTTTGACGATAATATGGCACGTGATAAAGATAGATTTCATAGTTTTGTTAAATCGTACACACACATATACATGTACCCACACTAACGCACATACGTACAAAGTAACTCGTTTTGTTGTTTATCATTTTAAAATGAAATTAGAGACAAATCGGATCAGAATTTATACTTTATAGTCTAAACTAGATGCGAAAACACTTGTCTAAATACATTATTATATATTAAAACAATCTATTTTATTTTTAGTTAATCTATCAGGATGAAATAAGTACCTATAGTTGTTCAAACTGAGCTAATAAACACTATTCACTTACTACAAAAAGCTTTTCATGATTTTCATGACAGTTGTCAGTTATAAAAGTATAGCTCCTTAAAGTCGAATAAAAGAACAACTAAACTTCAGAAAATATTGACTTCATCTGATGTTCTTGTAGACTGTATCTGTGTTTTCTGTAGCCCTTTACTGGTATATCTTATAGTATACATAGTTACTAAGATGGCAGAAGTAGAAGTTGGCGGCATAAAAACAGACGCGGTTGGATGTTGTAAGTCGTGGCAACCTCGCCATTTCTCTTACCACATGGAACAATCAATAGCATGGAACTAGAAACCTACCGGGCGTTCCAGATTCTCCTTTCTTTCCTTGAAGATCCGGAAGAGCTATTGAGAGACGACAAATGAAAAATAAAACACAAAGAAAACAAGAGCATGTATAAATCGTCATTCTGGTCAAGAGTAAAAACTCAGTGTAATGTAAATGGTTTACTCGTTGAACTTCTCAAAAATACATTCACCCAGTAAGGCTTTACAACCATGTCGTTTGTTGCAGTAAACCGAGACAACGGAAAGCATGAAAAAGTAAAAATTTGATAACCAATACCATTTCTTCTAGACAACAAAATTGGACTTTCCCTGTTTTTCAGTAAAAAAAAGAAAACTATTGAAATTACATACATGTACTAAAATTAAGCTAATTGATTTTAAACCTTCAACTTTTGATGGTGACAGAAATGTACAGTTTGTTCTCATATACAGCATATACTTTTTAAAAGCATTTAAGTAAAATATAAATTTATTACAATATTAAATAATATTTGTACCTGCTTTAAAAAATGAATATCTTCGGCTCTTTTTATGTTGTATTTTATTTAAATGGATTAAACAAAACTCAGTAAAGTTAATTTTAAATTGTCCAAAATTACATATCCATTTAAAAGATTTACAACTAAGACTATCTGGGGGAAGGGAAAATGGCATATAATAATACGCGACATTTTGATGAGAAATAATAATTATTGTAAATATATAAGAACTCTTTCATGCCTCAAAACAGTAGATTGATGCATGGCAGAAATTCAATCTGAGGCATGTCTAATTATGAACGGCACTTTATGTGACACATAAATAGCAATCCCCGATAAAGAACTGTTCTAAGTATAACAACCAAGAACTAAAAGTTCTTAGTGTGTTTAGCGGCATACTGCAGCTCGAATTTTGAATCCTCCGATCCGCAGCTCGCCATACTAACAACTAGATCACGCCTGGTCCGACATTAGGAAAGGATTAGATAATATAACACACAAAGAAGAAAGGTATGATACAATTAATTTTCTTAGAGCACGGTCAACATAAACATTATAGAAAGTGTCTTAAAATTAAAGAAACATATTTTTCTTCTGTTAATACAAAATGGATAAACCTGAATACAGCAGAAAACTTAATATCATACTAAAAGAAATATAAAACAAACTTGAATAAGTTAAGTGCAATCATATAATACCGTTGTGCTTTAATTTCTAAACAAGCACAAGTTAAGTGGATACAGGTTGTAAAGATGTTTATATATAAATCTAGAAAATGTTACAGTTAAATATGGAGCTCTTTTAACGAGAATTTATCGATGATAATTGCAACTTAATGCTCTGAAGTAATAGTTTTACTTTGTCACTATGTGAAAATGGCAATGCTTCTATTAATAAGTCTTCCCAGTTACACTACAAATTTTCTCAATCTTTGGTGACGACACATCTTGTATTGGAAAACCATTTTTATCTTTCCCGAGTCCATGGCCACAGATGAAATTCGTATATAACCTCATCTTGATGATGAATGATGCGTATTGGTCTCTCTACCATAAATTAGCCATTAGCTGTCAAACATCATTTGAAACCAAGTCTTCCTTGTAAATTCCAATCACTTATGAAATTTCAATTTCTTCGAGTTCATACTCATGTAAGACTACCAACTAGTCTGTGATATAAAATACAAATGAAACAACTAAGAACTTTTAAGAACTTCGAACATACTAAATTCCATAAAAGTGAATTAACAGAAAACGGTACTGGTATTTTCAGCCTAAAAGTTGTCTTAAGCAATCTATGGGCTAAACGGACAGGTTAAAAATTCCGTTAATTCAGGCATAGCTATCTTATATTTTGAACTTCTTTCCGAGGTAGGAAGGTAACTAGTTAGTAGTACCCAACGTACATGCGTCTACTTTTAATCAAA